CTTGCTCCTAGTAGTACGGCCAGGAGCCCCTAGTAGCGTCCTTGCTCATATAGAAGTATATACCTTAGCTTGGCTGGGATTTCCTTTGGGTCACCGAAGTAGCATGCTTGTTGTCGTTCCTAAGCTGGCGATGCGGGAACAGCGATGCGGGAACAGCGACCACACACCGATGCGGTACACCGCCGCCTCTTCCAGCGGTCACTCCGTTGAGATGGCACACGCACCCCACCAAATCCCACGCGGGTATCGCGGGTCACGTGAAACACGGATCCATTTAGATAAAGAAACCACTGTGGGTAAGACTGTAAGAGGAATTGAGAGCAGCTTACCCAACCCACCCATCAACTTTGGACCATGACTTGCGTTGTAATTGATGGAGCTGACTTCAAGAAATGATGGTTCTTAAATAATCCCTACAGCACAGTCTAGTACTAGGCACGCCAGAAGAAAGGAACACCACCAAGCTCCACCTGTGCAGCCAGAGAAAGTTTAAAAGCGAGGAGATAAAGACATCATAAAACGGTTCTCTACAGCCTCTGTAGCTGAAGAAAGCCCCCTTCAATTCAACACATTTTTGTTTCTTTAGCAAAACCATGCAACACCGCCATTCTTTTGGCGAACACGGCTCGGATTTCGCTGCCTCCGCGTCCCTCGTCCCTCGTCCCCTCGTCCATCTCGTCTCGTCGCGTCGCGAACGACGACGGATGACGTCTCGTCTCCTGTCCGCGGTCGCGGGCGACGTACTCGGCCAAGGTGATGGCCGCCACACGTCGCGGCTGGGTGCACACGACCACCTGGCACGACTCGAGCGCCGAGAGCGCGCCGAGCGCGGCGAAGCACGCGGCCGAAGGAGCGGCGGAAGGACCGTGGTCTTCGATTCCGAAGAGTATTTTGAGGGGGGGGGCAGTCTTGGTGTAGAGATGAAGGGATGAAATAGAGAATTCAATGCGGCTTGAAAGGGTTTGCAAGGGTGAAATAGGGTGAAGATGCATCATTATTATTATTGAACAGAAGTGTACAGTATATTGTATAGATGGTACAGGATGCTAGGCTGCTAGAATGATCTCCACTCTTCAGGTTTGTCGCGCCTGATCCTGAAACACCAACCTTTGTGCAATTCCAAGGCAACAGTCTTGCAGGGCAACTTGAATGCACGCCTATGGAGCCACCTGTCTCTACAGATTCGTTCCTAAGAGCCAATGGCTCTGTACACTCAGATCTCGCACCGAAAATGGAACGAAAAGCCTTCAAAAGAAAAGGTTGACCTGGCTTTAGTAGCGTAAACTCCTCATAATATACCAACAGGACCTACTATTTAATTAGTAAAACAATGGTTGTTCGCAAAGGCTAGGTTCGTTGGAGTCCTTAAAAAAGAAACATCCTCACAGCTTCCATCTCAGTCACAAGACTCTGCTGGTGTGTTCCTCACGCGCAGAGTCAGACCAAGCACCAGACCGACCGAGTTCGGCTCAGGCTCCTCCTCGACCGTCCTCCCACGCCTTGTCATCGGGCACCAGATTCTCTGCATCACAGACCTGTTCGGCCAGAACAGTTCGGCGCATTCGCCTCCGTTCGGGGCTCGTTTCACCATCCGTTCCGGCTCCGCCACAAGCGGCGAAAAGAACGAACGAAACACACCACGCACGCGGTGCACATCGCTGAGGAGAGCACCAGCTGTGGGATGAGCGTGGACCTGAGCGAACCCGCGAACCTGCGTCAGAAGTGTGTTCCAATGCTCAACATATACACGACATGTATACGCAGGTTGCATTGGAAATATTCCGCTCCATCTCAGAAAGTAGCATCTTGGAAAGTCCCTTCCAAGACTTGAGTTGCTGCTATCATTGTTAGAGGAAAACATGTACCTGTACCTCCTACACAGGGTCATTCCCACAAACAACTGTTGCCCAAACCTACTCAGGTACACCATGACCTGCAAACGCCAAACTCGCCCGCAGGGTCGCCCTAACAGCCTGGCCCAACACACTTACAATGCATCATGGATGTGATCTGGATCTTAGTCTCCCAGAATGGGCCACTCGCACCACTCGTCTCACCGCACCAGCATCTGCGTCCCGACCGCGTCCCGTCCACGCGTCCCGCAGGGGTCGGGGGAACCGAAGCGTCGCCCCACTGAGAGGCCCCCACTTCCCGCAGCCCGTGTCGCCACTGATGATGCTCCTCGTGACAGCGGACCACCGAGGGGACCGGACGACAGCGGGGCGACGCCCATTCCGGTGGAAAGCAGCGGGCCTTTGGCATTCAGAAGGTCTTCTTTGCTTCTAAAGGTGGCAAAGGTCGAAACGTGGCTCCTTAGGGTGATTTGATATCAGTCCAATAAAATAAGGTCTTGACCTCTACAGGCTTCCTTCGAGTGTCCACGCTGTTCCTTCTCGCGGCGTTCGCTTAGACCGAGGGGCACGGTGTTGTGTCGGATGCCAGCAATAATCCAATCCTGCGGCCGGCCGAAGAAACACCATTGTGGATGTTGGGTCGACGCTTGAAACCGCGAGACCAAGAGAGGTGGGCGAGCAAACTGGATGAACATCGAATGGTGGTGAAGTGGTGAACCACACCGCAAAGAGACGAAACTCTAGGAGTCCAATATATTCCAATCACCATTGGATTCAATGGCTCTTACCTGTTCTTACCGAACAACTCATTGTACCAAGGATTGACTACAGAACTAGGTCAACCAGTTTTTAAGTCGAACGGAAGGCGGTCTATACAACAACCTATGCCTGTTTGAAGTTATACTACCGGCTAATCACGGAGGAGTATCCGGGCTGCTAGTGTCTTGAGATGATCCTTGACCCCCCCAATCGACTGCAACCTAAGGATTTGAAAAAAAACATGGCGTGCACAGGAGATAGGACTATGTATTTAACATTGTTTAACCTTCCAAAGTATATCTATGTCAAAATCAGTGAGATAAAACAAAAGTCGATGCACTCCCACATCAGTTGAGAAAGGATGCCATCATAAACTCCTGTCAAACCAGTGCCACATGACAGGATTGCAAGTCTTTCGTTCCCAAATCAGTGGTGTTCGGGGCAGGCAGGCATGGTCTGCTCTTGGATAAATCTGGTCATTCCTGCTGATCACTGAGGAATAACTGGTGTCTATGCATTCATGTTTTGTAACTCGTAGCATGTGATCAGCCGGGCGTGGTCGAAGGACACCCGTGATTTCCACCACATGGACCCACGCTCGGACGGGTCACGCTCGGACGGGATATAAATCTGAAGAAAGCACCTGCCATCGCACCAAATCAACCGGAGACACCGCCACTGCAACGACAGTAGACAGATTGACTCCTAAAATCACTCGCCCTCAGTGTCACTATGTTAAGCATCCTTCTCATGCAATGATGACATATAGCTTATACCGATGGACACCGCGGACAGCCTGCCGCGCGCTCACCCCCTCGTCTCCTTTCAGTCTCCAACCACACCACACACGCGACGCGGATGCCGAGCCCCAACGGCTCCACTCGATCCGGGCGCCTTCTTCTCGTAGGTCGGCATCCGCTTCGAGGCTTCGCTCATCTCCGGCGCCGAAGCCCGCCGACTCTTGGGCAGCGCCTGGCGCGGCAGCGCGACGCGCGCGGACACGCGGGGTGGGTCGTCCAGCGGTTGGTTGGTTGTTTTCGGGCGTGTTTTGGGGGCTGGTTGCGTAGCTCCTCAGGATCCAGTCATTGGGTTCGACACGGTGATGGGTTCGACACTGTGATGTAGGTTGGGAGGGTCCAGTCGTACCGAGCCTGAGGAAGTACGACTGCTCGGTAACTTCTTGGAATGGTGGTGACATGGTCTATCCCAGACCATCCATGAGCCATGTATGGAATAGTGACATATAGTATCATCTTTCCGGAAGTCCCGAAACCCAAGACATTCAAAGCTCACAAGCTCACTCGGACTTCTTTCTTTGCGCGTCCTGAGACGAAAGGGGTTCAGTCAATGGAAATGCATCGAGTGCAACTGGGAATGGATCTTACATGAAATGCCTCGAATGCAACTGGAACAGCCCCCGTTCCCACCCACACCTCCCTGAGAGCACAAACACTGCATGCAAGGTTACAGTTAGGGACGTTTCCCTGCTTCCTGACAAAGATGGGACTCTCAACAAGTTGAACGTTTCCATATTAAATATATACCTATTACATTTACCATCATTTACCCAATGTATGCCCCTAACTCTTCCATACCATGGATGGTCTACTGGAATGGACCTCGTGGGTGGCACCGGTGGGACCCTCATCCAACCAGAGGTTCCCTCCGAACGACCGACGGCCACGGTGGATCCACTAGATCCCCCCACAGGACGTGAGGGTCTTTTACGTCTCCTTGAGACACATGGCGCATGGCCACTGAACCGGTTGAAGCATGGGTGGCAGTGGCCACGAGATCAATCGGCCCAGCGACCACGGGACCAAGGATTGACCGATGGCGGCCAGGGGTGGGTTCCACTACACTCCTCATTAGCCTTTGCAAGACCATTGACTCCGACTCACGAAAAGGTGGGCCAACTCAGATGTCGTGTCAGCCGTCCTGTCAGGTGTTCTCCTGTTTTCTCCACTCACTCCCGTCTACCTGGTTCTCCCACCCTCACGTCCTGCCTCGGGTGTCTCGCTGACACCCTTGTTCGGCACGAAGGACACAGCATCCGCGCGCATCCCTGCGCCGTCGTCACCTCGCCGTGAGGAGAAACACCGGAGAAGTGCCGAAGTGTATGCTGTTCGTCATGTCAACCCATGTCAACTGAAAAGGTGTCACACTCAATTCAAAACTGGGGGGAGGTGTGTTAATCCAAATTCGACATGGAATTAGCTCCCCTGGTTGCCTCCCGCGTGTTTCTTCTTCTCGAAGAGGTGCTGAGAAGCCTCGCGAACAACGGTGTTTTCACCCTCTGCGACTACGTCGACTGCGACGCCACAGACTGAGCGACTCAGCAAATATGGTTGTGAATAAGGCCAAAGGAAAAGCAGCAAAAGGTGCGCAAGCACTAATACCCAAAGTGGTACCCCAAAGTGGTTCGGGTGGTGTTTGGATTGCATCAAATCACGGGTTGCCGGGTAGAACTCTCGGTGTTTCACGTCTCTCTCCATCGCACCGAAGGAGTTTGACGAACACCAAGCCGCTGCGGCCCTGCGAAGCCCTCTCCTCTCAGGATCGACCTGTTTCGGCTCGACGCGATGCCAAGTGCCTGGGGCGCCTGGGGTGCTGCGGGCGCTGCAGGACGAGCCTTAGGACGGGCACACTTCGTCTCTAAGTAATTATACCAATCCCGAGGAATCCAAGGAATCAGCGGCGTCTTTTTCCAGAATCCTGCAGATACGTTGATCGGTTCTGACCACCAATCCGTGGGTGTTTAGAAACAGGAAAGTGCGGCGCCACGAATTCGCCCCAGTCCGCAGCGTCCATGGCACCAGCATCCCCTTTCACTGCGGCCGCATCCGCCCATCCTCAGGTCCTCTCCCCACGAATTCGCTTTCATCGCACTGATTCGCGCGAAGCTCAGAAAGGCCAGAAAGTGGGGGAAGAAGAAGGCACCATGACGTTTTGGTTTGGTGAATTCCTCTCAAAACCGGTGGTTTTATCTCCCAAAACGCTTCCTTCGTTGTCCTGGGTCCGATGCGAGGCCGGTCCAGAACGGTCCAGACGACTCTGAGCGTTCCGCTGGACGCTCCATGCGCTCCGGCTCCGCTTTCCCTGGCGGACCGCGACGTGGTGCTCGAGTCAATCAAGGAAACCAGTCAATCAGGTGCAGTAGGTCACTGCATGTCCCTAGAGGCAGTGAAGATTGAGAAATTGTTCATGGCACTGGTCTATTAAAGACATCGACTCGGACCGCTGTACGTTGTACGTCTCAAGACCAGATCCCTTCGGTTGGACCTACCGAAGCGAGGTCGAGCACCGCTGGACCACCGCTCTCGACCGCTGAACCCCGCCTTTGCCCGCGGCTGCGGCGCCTGGAGTCGGGTCCGGTCCTTTGGGTGAAAACCGGTGTTCGGAGGGGTTGTTTCTGTAACCAAACCACTGCGACTCCGGGTTTCTTGGCCTAAAAGCATGGAAGATCGTGGAAGAATATCTGTTGAGCGATCTGGATCATGGACTGCTTCCCATGGCGATTCTGATCGTCGTCTGGCGCCATGTCCGTCCGTAAGCCCGGACGCACGGAGAGTGGAAGGGTCGAAGGGTCCCAAACCACGGGAAGCGGTCCCCAAAATCGTTCAATCCAGAGCTCGGAGCTCTAGAGTCTCTAGAGGACTCTGCTGTGAAGGCATCGGCATATATAGGTTAAGGCAGCGAAGCCCACTGGTGGCCACAGGCGCCATCCCGTGCGGCCACAGAGACTGAAGGCAAGACACACCGAAAACGAGCCGCTGCCAGCGGTCTGGCTCGATCACGTCCCAGAGGGGAACGGGGAGCCGATGATGGGGGTGACAGAAGCAGACCCGGAAGCGGCAAAAATGGAACTGATAGGCTCACAGGCCCTATCATGAGGTCCTATGATGGATGGCTTATAGGTTTATAGGTCCTTAGAGGTCTTGGAAGAAGGACTATACCTTTTGATACCTTGTAGGTAGATGGACACTGAGATGGACACTCATGTTCCCCGCCCTCGGGTGCTCGCACCTTTGCCCGTTGCAGTGCCTGGCAGATGAGATGAAAAGAGCCACAGCAACGGCCAAAAGAGTCACAGGCCGAATGGTGGTGCTGAGCAAACCCCTTTCCGTTGTAAGCAGGGCCCCTGACTCGGCTCTTGCGCAAACCCGCACGCTTGCAGTTGCGTCGTTAAATTTACACCAACATGGCACAAATAATGGCCAACATGATTCATACCCGACCTCTGACTCCCCAGGTAGCGCCTTTGCTTGAGGCTGCTACCGTAGGTGCGGCCGCAGGCGCACCTCCGGAAGAAGAACTGATATATTTGTACAGAAGAGTGGAGGAGTCTTCGATCTAAAAAAACGGCTGCAGTGGCCCCCTGCATGTCATGCCACGAAGATGATCGAACCAACTCACCATGCTCAGCTCGTCTTCCACAATGCTCAGCATCGCCGACTTCGACGGGGAGAGGTTTTCCCCCCTTTTTCCCCGCCGCCTTTTCCCGCCGGTGCCGCAGCGCCTTGCCGACCGGCCGATCCGGAGATGAGAGGACTGAGATGTGGGGGTTCAGTACTCTTAGAGTTGACCCATCAGTTGATCAGCTGACCTGGTGACCTGCTTGAGCAAGGACCTGTTTGGAGTGAGATATTCTTTCTTGCAGTGGTAGGAACCTCCAAGTTCGCCGGATCTTCCCGTTCGCCAGTGATCCACCAGTGATCCACCATGATCGCCCGATCCGGTACGTACAAGATGGTCGCTCCAACCGGTCGCTCCGGTCGGGTCGCCCTAGCTATGGACCCTCTGCCGCTCTGTGGAGATCTGTGGAGACACTGTGCTCCACACTTCTGCATGGAGGGCCCAAGCACCTTTTGAAACAGCTGGATCGGCCTACCCCTAAGGCTTATGGCAGCCATCAGGTAGGATGCTGATACTGTCTCATGTTCACGAGCACGTTATTCACCTCAGATCTTCCTAGATGATCGGCCTCGGCCTCTGATCGGACGAGCCCTGGCTCGAGCCCTGAGGCTCGTCAGAGGTGTCTCAGGTGTCTCAAAATAGCTCAAAGCGCACCCATGTCATGCATCGCGGCACATGTTCCATGTCATTCATGCATATGCAGCATGTATTCAAGAGAAACATCACCATAGCTCATTTGCTCTCATGAAGAACGGTCCCCTTTTTTCGCCTCTCCTCCGCGAAGACAAGAACCTTCCCGGCCTTTTCCCTTGGCTTGGGGCGCTGGCGCTGCTGTGCGCGGTGCAGGTGCCTCGTCACCGCCTGTGGCACGAAGGACGCCCGTCGCCGCGGCCGCTTGGAACGTCCGGTCCACGTCGTTCTCGTGGGCGATCGCCGCCGCGGTCCACGAAGTGTTGGCAAAAGAACCTATGGTGAACCTATATAGGTTCAGCAGCCATATCTGCCAAGTAATTAGGAGATGTTGGGCCACGACCATCTTACATTCCCTGAAATCACCATGGAAGTAGATGGCATGGGCCCCTTGGATGACCATGAAATTCCCTCATACCAAAGAGGTGGTCTTCACTCACTCCGCTTCCACTTCCATGATGATCAGGGAGGTCGTCCTGTCTTCCCAAACCCGGCCCGGTCGGGTGGAACTCGGTCGGCCTCCGTTCGCGGGCATCGGAAAGGCGTCCTCCCGGAACGGAGGGATGTGAGCGTGGCAAGTGAGAGCAGAGGATGTTTTCCGGAGGTGAGTCCTTTTTGTTGGGGGGTGGTGATGAGTTGATCATGGCGGAAGAGGTGATGTTCCATATAGAATTAATTCCGTATACGAACTGATAATACTGATATATGCCTTCCAAAATGGAGGAGACATAGGGAGGTTTCTTCCCGTCCATCTTCCCTCCAACTCATCCGCCCAGTCGTCCTCCAAGTCTTCGAGGATTCCCAGGAAGCTCTGCGCGGTCAGTGGCCTCTGAGAGCTATTCCCTCAGCCGTTGGAGCTGGAGCCGTGAGCGTTCGTGTCGCGGATCGTGCGATGGCTGTCGCGGCTCAATTCGAGACGAGCAGCCTGCGGCGTCAGTGGGAATGGTGGACTTCCACAACAGTGGACTTCCGCCCAGAATCTTTGCATCTTTTTGCCAAACAAAACACGGATACATGAGCAGTTGCTATAGGAATGAATCTCCCAACATGCAAGACTGAGGTATCCGGAGAAACAGGGTTTCGCCCCCCAGGGTTCTCCCGTGAGTCGTCTGTTCCGTAGCAAGACATCCAAACAAAAGAAGAGGAACTGGTAAGTTCTCAATGAATGGTCATGAATTCCCTCATTTCTGTTTTTGGCTTCCCCTTTCCGCAAGCTCGTTTCGGTTCACTTGCAAGTGAACCAATCCCCTCCATCCACACAAATGATTTAAGGTGAAGCCACACGGGTTCTTCAACCGAAACAACGGCCGGGGGCGTCCCTTCCGACGGCCCCGTCGAAGCGGACGCCTTGGCTTGCCGGGGGCAGACCCCTGGCCATGTATTCGTTGTCCCAGATCCAACCGGAATCACCAAGTGGATGCCAAAAACAACATTGAAAAAAAAAGCAGTTTAGAGCAAATGTGTTCCTCAAGGAATTTCACCATTTCTCCTCATTTAGATCTTGAAGTCTCTTGCCGGTGGCCTGAAATTGGACATCGTGGAGCCGCTGAAAAACCACATCAGCCGCCAAATCCTTCGCCGAAGTGGCGCCAGAAGTCGTAGAAGCCCTCCCAAGGTTCCGCCATCTTATCCTGGAAGAGAACATGTCTCCAGGCTCCAGGCGAAAAAAACAAAAGCACGTTCATCGGTATTTGAGGAGGCGGAAGAGCGAAAACGAAATAGTTCACAAATGCCCTTTTCGGATCAAAAGCAAAGCTTTCTTGAAGACTGTTCAAAAGTGTGACGCCATGTTGCCCTTCGGAACAACATGCCTTTGCGGGTGCTGATCCTGGATGTTGCGCGGTGCGCCCTTAATGAGCTTCTGCAGCTGGTCCACCACCTGCGACGGTCGGCGCCGTTTGGTCGTTGGCTTCGGCTCCGGTCGGTCGACTTCGAAAGTCGTCTGTGGCGAAGGGACACGAACCATGTGACTGACATCGTCAAGGTGTGGTTTGGGGGGGAGGTCAATGTATAGCATAGATCTTCATGGGTTAATGAAGCGCTTTCCAATACATGTTCGTGCGCGTTTTCCACTGGTTTGCTTGTTGGGTCATATATTTCATGAGATGTTCTTTCATGGTTGGGAAAGCCGGATTCTGAAAGTCATCGATCCGATTCTGGCATGCTGAAACTGGGACTCTGAGGCTTTGAAGCTGGCATTCTGGAAGTCCGCAATAAATCTACGCAGTTGCGGAATCAAGATAGTTCTGGAATCCGAGTTTTGGCTCTTCTTCCAGCTTTCACATCGCCCTTCCCCCCCCATCACCCCACCTGTTTTGGGGCCCTGACCTCGCCTGCTTCACATAGTTCGAGAGCTGCTCGGGCGAGGGCACTTTCCCCGCCTCCAAGCGGCCACGGACCTGCCACCGAGACGACGGACCGGTGCCACCGGCCGTTCGTCCGCCGGTCTTCGCCGGTCTTCGCCGGTCTGCGCCGTGCGCCGTAAGCGTGGTTTCTGGGTTTTGTAAGGGGGGGGGGGCGAGTGGTACTGATGGGGGGGTATGTGTCTGAACTTCGGAATTGTCCACTATCCGGTTGCTGCGGACTGCTCTGCGGACCTATAGAAAACCCATGAAAACCTCCATGTCCATGTGCCCCTTTCAAAAGGCGTTCTTTGGCGAGAAAACTCGAAGGCCTCCCTTTGAGATGTTCAGGTGGTTGATCAAAGCCTTCCCCCACTGGTGAAACATGGGGGTTCAGGCCCCCATGGGGTGTGCGGTTCAAAGCAAAGAGGGTTCAAAGGGCAACCCAGAAAGATACGGACTGTTAAGGAAGACCACTAGTATCCACCAAATGAAAGCAAATCAAATGCCAATGGAGTGAAGAAGATACCTGGAGCTTCCAACTATGCAGAAGTTCTGCCTTTTGAGATGAAAAAGGCTGAAATTGCATCATTGGAAGTTCCAGGTATGCTGAAAACCACAGGGATCCTCCTCCAAAAACGTTCTTCTTGACACATGCATCACATTCATCCCTCCCGAAGGTATCTCCCTCGTCGTCCTCGAGCGTCGTCCTCCGGTTCGTGTGGAGCCCAGTGCGTCTGAGCAAGCGCCTCATTGGTGACCTTGTTCACATAGCTACACACCGACTGCAACGCCGCCTTTGGACCGGTCGGATCGGTCAAACGGGGTGTCAAACGGTGTGTCAAACGGTGTGGAAACGACCAGGTGTCGGGGTGGTGTCGGTGGTGTCGGTGGGGCGTGAGGAAAGAACGGTTGAAAGGAACACCAGAAACGCACGAAACACCCAACAAACACACAAAGAGAAACATCTGTGTGACATCCAAGGAAACCAGGAGACCCATCAGATCAGGGGTGCCAATTGGTGGTGAGGGGTGTCTATGAACCACCCCGCTTTAAGGTCCAAACAAGACCCCGGATCCAGGGCCTTTGGCCCCCACCATCCCGGGGAGACGCAACCAGGTCCCCAAAGGTTTCAGACGAAGGACGTGAGGCGGATGAGGCGGATAAGGGTCCGCTCATGGGTTCGCCAAGGGCATTTCGTGCAGCAGAAACACCAAGTGGTTGTTGGGCTGGTTCGCGAAGAGTGTTTTTGCATTGGAAGGTGGACACATGTGACTCATTTGGCACTAGACCTGCTATGAACGCGAAGGTCCAATATGGTTGTGGACATGTGTGTAGCTGTTCGGGAGTGTTTTAGTGGAAAAGGAAGTTTGCCTTGATCAGAGGCCCCGAGAGTCCAGTCTTCAATTTGGCGCATGCAACACACTGCAACATCTTCCGGCCAACAGAAAACATGGAGACATGTGATTCAGCTGCCAGATATCGCCCGATTCTTGGGCTCCAATCCCAAGGATGGCGTTATGAGTGACACATGTTATACATCAGGAGGTGTCCATGGGTTTCCATCAATCTGTGGAAAGCAACATCAGCCCAAGCTATGAGTTTGAAAGAGCAATTAAAGTATAAAGCCTTAACAAAGACCACGTCGCCAAACAGAAATTCCGCAAATCCCCAGCCTTGGATGCTTCACCCATGGCGCATCCACCGTCTTTGAGACGCGAATGCTGCGAACGCAAACGCGGGTGGCGAGTTGCCAACCAGTGGGCTCCCCCAAATGGTGGTGGTGTTGGGGCGGAAGGTGTTGGAGAGAAGGAAAGGAACGGTGTTGTTTGGTCCTGAGACCCGCCAGAACTGGGCGAACCAGGAACTGGAAATTGCATGGGCAACTGGACTGGCAAATCCGAGCAGTGAGCGCTTCGTTTTGTCTGAAATGGGGCCGTGGATTCTGTGGAGGTTCTGCGCATTTTTTCGAAGAACCTCCGATCGTTCGATAGACATGTGTCAAGGCCCCTGACATAAAAGAGCCTTTCCAAGGTAGGACTATAGGGCGCCCTAGGGCCTCTAGAGACTCTAGGGTATGCTCTTCCTGCTCAAAGTGCCTGTCAATCTATCAGAAGGACGCAGTCTGGATGATTTTATTCGGGTCTCAATCGTTTCAGTTTGTTCATGAGTATAGGGACCGGTGAACACCCTGGCTCAGGACCGGTGACACCGGGATCTTCCCCCCCCAGGCGCACAGGCATCGGGAGCTGCGTTCGCCGGCTGCACGCAGTCGCCCGCGCGCACAGGCTTGAGCCGGAGGCGAGGACAGATCCGGACGCGACACGGTCGACGAAGCAGCCGTTCTGCACGGAGAAGGGTCTTCCGCCGCGTTGAGAAATGGAGATGGAAGCTCAGTTCAATCAAGGACGCTCAAGGAGCTGGAAGAATTCCATGATCTCTAAATATATCCAACGATCTCCAACGGCCACTTGCGTCATTTGGGGTGCTCTTAACACCTGGACGTCCAATCACTCGTCCCAGCGTCCTGTCCCCACTCCCACCGACCCAGGGCGGCCCCTCTTTCGTGACAAGCATGAGACGAGCTGCAGCTCAGCGCGAGCCGCAGAACGAGCTTCACATTGCGATCACGGCTTCACATGGCCTCACAGCGCTTGTTCCGCCTGGGTTGGCTTTGCCGGGATCGTCCACAGTTCCCAAGGCACTGTTCCCACGGGTTCCGCGCGGTCTGGAGATTCAACGCAGATAGGGACTGGAACTCCATATATGACCCCATGAGCAGTCCCTGTGGGTGGTTCTGCAGTGCACTTGATAAGTCTGACGTCGACGAGGGACCCCGGCTGATGTTCGTGATTCAAATCAAAAACTCTACCAGGGCCCCCTAACGGGGTGTCTAGTTATATAGCTCCTTAGAGGTGATCTGGGGTGTCCATTAACCACCCTAAACCGGGGGGCTGTGGTTTTCATTTTTGTCCAGACTAACCCCACGGATCAATCTGGGTGTCCTTTTGGCCTACAACGTTCACAATGTTTCAGTCTTGGGATTCTTGGGCAACTTTTGGGTAGTTTCCATCTCCCTCAGTTCTGAAATAAATCTTGTCACCCTGCTACAGTAACCATCTTTTTCCCCTGGCAGCTGGTTCTTTGGAAGAAATCAGCCCTGTAGAACCAGGTCTGGCCCACCTAGCCACCAGCCACCCCAAATTGCCCTTGTTCATTCTCGTCACATCCAAAAAAGCCACCGACCACAGTCCGTTCACGCCCTACATCCTCCATCCTCCCGCGATCTCCGGGCTCCCACGCCGTGGACCTTGATGCTCGCGACGCAGTGTCCTGCCGGTTCCGAGGACCGTTTGGGGCCGGTCGAAGCTGGGAGGAGAGGGGTAGAGTACTAAAAGCCCCCAGCCCTTGGTATTGCAGGTGCCATCATCATGAGGCACCAAGGATGGATGGACAAGGATGACAACTGGCCGCAAGATCCGCCAGGTGGGATTTAGATCCATGAAGACCTTGCCAAGTTTCGCCCCCCCCGAAAAAAAGCACCGCCGGATCTCATCCACCCCAAAAAAGCCACCGGAACAATCTCCGCCCCCGGCGTTTCCGCGGAAAGAGACACCCAAAAGAAAATAAACCAAAAAACACCGAACTGAACCCCCTTGCCGTTGCTCAAACCGGCCGCCGTTGGATTCACGCGACGCGGGAACCCCCGCGACGGGAGAGCGCCGCGGTGAAACCGCCGCGGGAACGGCTTTTCGCCCAGCGGAGCCGGAGCGGAACCGCTGGCGGAGCCACTTGAGTCGCTCGCCCTGGAGAGCGAGCGAAGGGGCGTTTGGAAGGGAAAGGGGGCAGGAAGGAGGGAGGGACATAGTGAGGCTCCAAAGAGGAAGATCTCAAAGGTTAATTCAACTAGAATTCATTTAGCCCGTTCTCCCTCCTCAGAGCTAACAGTGTCATACTGTGTCTAACTTGCAATTTCTCTGCAATTCAACCCTCCAAAAAAGAAAAAGAGCCCCAAAACATCGAGCACCTGCTTTCCACAACAACTCCCTGATGTCCCACCATTTCTCCTCTCCTTCGCACGTCTCGGTCTCGCTTCGCCCTCTTTTTCTACCAGAACTGGTCGCTGGGCGGCTCCATGTTGCACTGGGGTGCCGTGGCCGTGGCCGTCCGCGCAGCACTGCCATGGCTTTCGGTGGCGCCGTCCTGGGGGGAGGGTGAAGACCATGGTAGGATCCATGGATATCCATGGTATGTTTTTCATGTTTTTTTCCACCTTTGTCTCAGCCCGTTCACATGCTTTTCAATGCTTTTCATATATTCAGACCTACAATGAGTCAATGAGATATCGGTCTAGAAAATTGGCCGAATGATAGTTGAAGACACTAATTGAGAAGGCAGGTTGACTGATCTCATCATTGAAACATGTCATGTCCTGAAACATGTCATGAAACATGTTGAAATGGACACATCTTGCTATGAAACAGGGTGTTCCAAATTCCTCTTCTCGAATCAGCTCGACAGTGTGTTTTCTTTTTGATAGTGTCGGCTCGAATCCTACCAGAGGTTCACCGTTTGCGACAGAAGTTCGAGGGGCGTGGTTTAGGACATGGAACTGCACCCGCTGGACATTCCCCCTCCAAGTCGATGGACGGGGGTGATCGATGTCGGTGAAGCCCTTGGTTTGTCGCCTCGAATGGTGACATTGCCGCTTTCCGGAAAGATGCTCCGAATCGCAGGTCTTCCAGATGACATCTCAGGTCGGGTTACCGTGTATGATGCTCAGGTTAATCATGATAGCATGGGGCTTTTGCTGCTGATTGACGCGTCCTCGGTGATCGTGGCCAGAGGTCAGCTTAGCGTGGAAGATTTGTGTGAAGTGAAAGAGTTGTGCAGTGGCATTGCTTGCATCTCCATGGGAGCGGCACAAATAGGAGGCTGGGCTGTGGGAGCCTTAGATGTGAACCACCTTGCCATCTCTCATCTTCGGGATAATGGACATCCAAACCCGATCCAGGGCTCGGTGCTACGAGATAGTGACATTTGTCGCATGCACTTGCTGAATGGAGCCAAACGAGGCACCTTGTCAGCAGGCTTTCCCTGCCAGCCTTTTTCGAAGCAGGGGGACGCCAAGGGCATGGGAGACAGCAGGGCGGCAGTGTTCATGGGTGTTGCACGAGCTGCGTGGCTCATGCAGCCTGGGCTGATTCTGCTAGAGTGTGTGGTGGAGGCTGGTGTTGTACCTGAGATCCAGAATACCCTGGCTCAGCTGGCAGAAGGCTTGGGTTTTGGCATGCGCACCATTGAGCTTGCTTTGGAAGAGCTGTGGCCTTGTCGTCGCCGCAGATGGTGGGCAGTGATTACCTCACATGCTTGGCTGCCCACTTGCTTGCGATCATGGCCCAGCTTCTCATTCCCATGTGTCAGTGATGTGATTCCAGCATGGCCGATTTGGCCCGAACATGAGGAAGATCAACTTGAACTGAATGGTGTTGAGCTGCATGCATTCCATGAGCCTAGCTATGGACTGGAAGACCGAGTGCTCCAGACCAATGGTGTTGCACCCACATTCCTTCACTCCTATGGGAGTCAGTTGATGGGATGTCCATGCAAATGTCGCAGTCAAGGTCTCAGCCCTGAGAGGCTGGAGAGGGCTGGCCTACGGGGAGTGTATGTTCATTCTCAGTTGAGTGGAATGCCTCGGTGGCTTCATCCCCGTGAACTTGCAGTACTGCAAACCATCATGCCGGACATGGTCTTCAATGACGATTTGCGTGCCAGCTTGGTGATGTTGGGTCAAATTGCAGCACCGGCTCAGGCCCTTTGGTTGCTTGCTCAGATTTGGTGTCCTCTGTTTGCAAATTTGCCATCTCCAGAGAAGGCTCTCAAGAACTACCTGGACGATTTGCTGCGCCGAAGGTATCATGTGTTTCCACCACAGTCCATTCCTGATCGCCAGTTGACACATGTCTGGAGTGCTCTTGGCAGTGAGCTTGTTGCATCAGTGGGCATCCACAAAGTGGAAGATTTCCTAGCGGCTGAACGCAGGCTGCTTGCATGCTCTGAGGTGAAGTTAGAAGATGAGGGAGCCTGTTTGCAAGGTCTTGCCATCTTGCATCCATCAGGGCAGAATGGTGCCTACACTATTGTGAGAACAGAGGCCTCAGGACAAACAGGCACGACCAAACTGGTCATGGTGAAGCTGATTTCGGAAGGGATGACTTGGCAAACCCTGATCTATGCAGGCAGCTTTCTTTTTGAGGCCTTCTGGCGGTTGCGCCTTCAGGTGGCTCCAATCAGGCTGTATGATGATCACGATGGTTGCTGGTTTCCGGATTCAAGGATCTGGGAGGACATCACCTTGCAGGACGTCCCAGTGTTGACTAGTGCAGGACCTCTGGACACGGGGGTGATGTATCAACAGCCTCAAGATGACATCTCAGGACCTCAGCTTCAGCGAGCAATTGATGGGCTGGCCCTGAGCCCTTCAGGACCAGATGAGATTCTTCTCTCAGTAGCTCATGCGCAGGTGATGGTTCAGGCTCCGTTGCATCTTCCAAGCGCTGTGCTCCATCGTTGTGGTCAGTGCCTGGTTTTTTCACGGAGTTTTTCACAGTTGTGGCCACTGGGCTATGTTCTCATGCATCCGGGCAGCTGACAAGGTTGAGGTGCACTATTTTGATGGAGTGATTCATTTGCTGGATCATGAGATGAAGGGAGTAGGTGAAT